GGGAGGGCTCCCGCGGTTCGGGGGGTCGGGCGGGTCCTGCCTGCCTGGAGGTGCCCGCTGGCAGCTTGCGGTTGGGGGAGCTCGTTTGCTGTCAGCTTCCTCCTCGGCGTTCAACTCCTCTTTTTTTCTCTCTTTCTTCCCCCACCCCCAGTTGTCACCGTGCTGCCTTTCCGCTGCCTTTTCTGCTTTAAGTCGTCTTGGACAGGGCTGTACGTAGCCTTCCAGGCTATGAATATTGCTGTGAATAATTGCTACGAATAATGTTATGATACACCTTGTAATAGTCTTACCTTTCTCCCCTGGAAGTATGTCTTTCGTAGTCTAGGAATTAACCAGATTCTTTCATGGCTGCGTTATTTTTGTGACTTAACAGCCTTTGCGTGGTGATTGCCTACGCTGATTCTTTTTTCAGGGCTTTCCTAACAGTATATTCTCTCTTTATAAGAGCAATTTTTGTTAATCCTTGAGCTTATAGATCTGCACTCTTTACTGCTGAGTTTCCACCCTACTCTATTTCTCTCTTCTTTTTCTTTGTGATTTTCTTGTCTTAAGCAGCTCTTAATTCTGTATCATTAACTTATTCCCGCTTCTGACAAGATGGTTAACCAAAATGTTCAGCGGCACTGATCCTTGAGGATTGCCACTTGTTTCTTCCTGGTTCTAGCCCGATCTTTTCGTTTCAGTACTTTGATGTCCATCCAGTTCTTGTTGCAAAATAGCTGCACTTAGTTTGCATTCTTCAGCTGTAAAAATAGAACAAAAAGGTAGAAGATTCTTTTTTTCTATTGTACTTAACATTGGCTTCAGTTTTGCTGTCCTACAGTTCCTCATTTCTAAGATGTGATTTTCTTTCTTGATCTGTATTTTCTCTTTGTTCTGCTTTTTTGCTTGTTTTCATATCTTTTTGAAGTGATTACTCATTCCGTTCCATTTGGAACCTTTTCTGCCGTTTTCCTCTTTGGGATGATTTACAGATAATAATAGCAACTTTGATGTAAGAAATTCTGGGATAGTTTGTTTTGCCTTAACATTCCAGAACTCCCCAAATCCAAGTGGCTTCATTAGCTAATTTCCAGCATTTGTCAAAATTTTCCCTTTCGCAGGCCAAAATCGTATCTATAAAGCTATATCTGGTTTTTTGCTCCTTAATTTAAACTGGACAAATCAGATTATCATACTTAGCCCAAAGTTACTTTTTGTTGCCAGTTCTTCTATTCTTCATATTCACTAAAGCTGGATCTAAACCAGCATCCCTTCATCATGGAATTTAACGAGTAATGGAGCTTTATTTTTATATTTTCAGCTTTTGAATGCGTTTGATTACTTCTCTCCTTGGAGTGGACAGCCACAGTTGTACAAGCTGGATGTAAGCTGGCCTAAAATTCCAGAATACTTCACTGGTCAAACATTTTGTGTTGCTGTTGACTCTCTTCATGGTTTGGTCTATGTTGCACAAGTAAGTGAGAGTGCTAGGCTTCTCTCTTTGTTAACCTAGTGTATTTTTGCCTTTACAGTGCCTGTTGTAGATCACGACATAAATAAATAATTATTGTGTCATAATTGCAGAAAACAGAAGTAGATCTCACTGCTATATCTATTTTTTTTAAAACGGTTCCAGAACCATGGCTGTTCGATGGTTTTAAAAGCATTACATTTTGGTCATGTGGACACATGATGTTACCTGATTGGGTTACAGTAGCTGTCTGCCAGGTGAAAAGCCAGGGCTCAGTGTCTTTTCTAACTGTAAGGTAAAATTCAGAGCATGTTATTCTGGGGTAACTGTCTAGTCCCCTTCCCCTCTTTCAGCCTTTTCCTATGGAATCAAAAGCACGCAGCTATTTCGGGCTGCAGTAATTGGAGTTTCATGTGTTGGTGCCTTTAGAACACAGATAAGATGTTCTCTCTGCAGCAAGTGGTGGGTTTTAATTGTAAAGCATAGCCTAAATACTTAGAATATTATGCAAATAACAAGTACAATTACAGTTTTTATGCCTTTGTTATACTTGGGGTATTTTTCAGTAAGGAAGTAAAAACAGGATTCCAAATGAATAACCAGGGTAGCTGCAGGAGCTTGACTGCTCTGAAAGTTGGACTCCGTATGATTCAAGCTGAAAATCTAGAATGCTTAGAAGGTTTTGTATGCTAAACTTAGACCCTTTTATCTCTTTCCTTTTCTAGTTAGAAAAAATGAGATCTAGCAGTATTTAACAGTCTCTAGACTCTTCCATGATTGATAAGACGTTGCAAAAACCATTCAAGAAGAATTTGCAAAAGTATAATTACTTGGTTAATATGTTTTAATAGACCTTTTCTTTTACTTGCCTTTTCAGAGGGGAGAAAACATACCAAAGGTACTTGTGTTCTCAGAGGAAGGCTATTTTCTTTACTCATGGAATAATACACTTGAAATGCCTCATGGCATCTTTGTATTAAACACCGCAACAGATAGTTCAGTATGGATTACAGATGTTGGAACAGGTATGCATGGTGGAGACATGACAGGGCAGGGAAGAAAATGATGATACTGCAGATATTACTTTAAACAGCTCACTTATTTAAATAAGGCTCTCAAACAGTGCTGAGCCAGATATATGCTCTTCTTGCCCTGAAAAAACTGCTCCTGTACTGCACAAAATAATTTGAAGGCTCATGAGTTATGTTGTGTATCTGTTTATAGTCTCTCAAGTTAGCAAACGTAAATTTAGTTGTTTGTCTGGGAGAAGGATTAGAAGAAAGTATCTTTTGGCTAGACTTGTCTTCTCCCCTAGGTTCATTGACGCTAATACAACGGATAACTGCTGTTATAGCCTGTGGATTTACTGGTCCACAATCATATTCTCACTATAGAATTTTATCTATTGCTTTATTAATCTCCATTTAAAGTGTCCGGAATTTTTATTTTTAATCTTTGTAATCTGTTGTAACATTTATCATTTTGTTTTTTTAAGACATTCTGCTGTTTTCTTTTGTCAATTCAGGGAAATATGGGCACACTGTGAAACAGTATAGCCCTTCAGGTAAACTTATGCAGATCCTGGGCACGCCAGGTAATGCTGGTTCAAGTTTGAATCCCCTACAGTTTGATCAACCGGCAGAGATCTTTGTAGAGGAAACTGGGGAAATGTATGTTGTGGATGGAGATGGAGGGATGAATAACCGATTGCTCAAACTGTCCACAGGTATGGAGAAATTGAGGCTGCACAGCAGCTGACAAATGAATTTTGACAAGAGAAATGTGAATTATGAATAATACAACTTTAAAAAATTAGTAACTGGGACTAGATGCAGTTCTCATTAAAATTAGTTTTAAGACATTATTAGATCAGAACTTGTTCTGTTGCTCGTCACTTTAGGAGAAATCTCCCTATGATGAGAGTCTGAAAGAATGGTCTTGTTCAGTCTTGAGAGGGCTAATCTTATTGCTGTCTTCAAGTCACTAATGGGAGGATATAGAGAAGACAGACTGTACTTTTCTTGGAGGTACACAGTGAAGAATGAGGGGCAATGGACAAAAGTTGCAAGAGAGAATGGGCTCCAGCTGAATGTTGGGGGAAAAATTCTCTATGAGAGTTATTAAACATTGGAACAGCTTGACAGAGAGGCTGTGGAATCTGCACCCTTGGAGACGCTCAGAACTTGATGGGATATTGAACAACCTGATCTAACTTCAAAGTTGGATTTGATTTCAGGATTAGTCCTGCTTTGAGTTGGGGGGTGGTACCAGATAGTGTTCAGAGATTTTTTTTTTTTTTTTATACTTAAATTATTCTGCAATTCGAATTGGCTTGCTCATATTCTCCAGTGATGGACAGTGAGTGGTCAGTGGTCAGTGTCTGTTAAGGCAGTGAGTGAGGAGTCTGTGTACGTCTACAGTTAGAGACTAGAGGAGGAGTTGTTTCTTCTTTGCACTGTCCACTTCATTAAACAGTCAGTTAGCTAACATCCAGTTTACAAAACGAGAAATTGTTAAAACTCAAAATAGACTCAAAACTGTCAAGTAAGAAATATAAAAAATCAATATAGCAAAGGAATGAATATCATAATCGCCCAACTGTCTCAGTTTTTTACACAATCCCTGACATAACAGAGCCTTGGGCAAGGCTCCTGAGCGCTAGCAGTTGCACTTCTATAACCGTAATCTTGCGACCACTAATAATAATGCAACATTCACTTCAGTGATTCCTGTCTTCTCTTAGGTTTATGTAGCAGAAGTATTAAATTTAAAAAGTTTGGATTTAGAAAGTGCATATTTTAAAAATAACTCAAAATAACCTTGCAAGAAATGACTTAAAGTCAAAGCTGAAGTTATTTTGTTTGTTATTTCCGTAGTGTGATTTTTGCTTTTATTTTCCATGATGTCTACTATTTAGATTATAAAGAGATATGGCTGCGTGGACCAAATGGGACTGGCATTGGTCAATTCAGGATTCCTCACAGTGTAACAGTGGATTCTTTTGGACGGGTAAAGAATAAAAAGAGGTTTTTTTCATCTTCCAGCAGGGTCGTTTACATGTATTTGAATAATACAAATTGTATTTTTTTTTTTTTTTTAAATCAGACTGTTATGATCTGGGTTATTTTACGTGGCTTACAATCTTCAGTGCAATAGCAGTCATGAGCTTAAGTTTCAGGCTGAAGATCCTACTGAAGTAGCTGGCTTCAAGGTTAAGAAGATGACTCTGACCAGTTACATTGTCAGTGACCATGCAGCAACAGACTGTTACCTTTTGCAGTTTCTAACAGGTTGCCATTGTCAGAGTACAGGAGAGTTATGTTCTCTAATATATGTCTACCAAAGTGCTTTGGTACCCACACCCTCTTCCTGTGACGTTTTAGGGAGTCTTGCCCCTGGGAGACTTGGGCATCTCTTCAAAATTTCTTCAGGGGACTTTAATTTTATATCTAGAAAATTTCATATAAGCTTAAGATGAAGGTAAGGCTGTGGATAACTGTCCTTTTCTCCATGCAGCTCAGCATTCAAGATATCGCTTATGTTACTCATAGTCTGGCTTTCACCCCTGCTGCTCGTGTGGAAGGAACTGTGTGATTGCTCTTTAATCTGCTTCAGATCTGCTTTTCATCAGATTGCTTAGCTAAAACATCTTATATTAGTGGTTTGAGCTAATTCTATTGATGCTATCTGAGCCAGAGTAGAAGCATATGCATGAATCACTTTTCTGAGAAAACTCAGACAGGGAGAAGTGTAGGAAAACTCAGACAGGGAGAAGGGTAGGGAAATGGCAACTTTGGGTAGAAGGGTGACAGTGAGTACGTACATTCACAGACAGCAGTTGCGATGACCTGAGATCTTACTACCAAGGTGGTGTTGATCATTAGCCTAGGTTAGAAACCATTGTCCGTTCCTAAGCAGTCTGAAAGAATGCTGTAGTGTTTAGGTTAAAAATAGTGAGACAGACCTGTTTATTGCTCTATGTTGGGTGATATCCTGGGAAAATTGTAAAGTTTATTTATCTGATTGAGAGCTTATCAACAGCCAGAGTTTCAATGATTGTAGTAAATGAGATGCTTTCGTTCGAACTGTTCAGGCGTATTGCTAGCATGCGCTGTTTGTGGAAGTAGTTAGCACAGGTGAAAGAGATAAGCCCCACAAAGCTGGTTAGACAAAACATGCTAAAAATGCCCTTGGTTCTTAAATTGCTCAATATTTGTAGTAGGATTAGGCATATCAGAGTTTTTTGCAGATGCAGATCTCATAGGCCTAGGTCATAAAATGAGACTACTATGTTGAAAAACAGAATTGTCAGTGGGTGACAAAGCACTGTCTTTATAATTAAATAGATGTGTGTATGTACTCACTTGTTGCTGTTGTTACAAAAAGGTCCTATGGAATATATCCATATTATAGCCACAAAAATAAAGACAAGACACTGACTTCTCTGTTAAAGTGGTATAAAATAATTTGTTTACCTTAATTTTAAGGTTTTGTTTTACATCTGAGGGTCATACTTACTTAGCCGTCTTTGAATGTGGAGGGACATTCTTTCCTGGTATACTTCTTTTTGCTTCAGGATACATTGACTGCTCACATAAGACAATAATGTATTTGATTTGTACTATTTGTGAACAAACGTGGTTTTTGTGCTTAATAGGTATGGGTTGCAGACCGAGACAACAAAAGAATCCAGGTTTTTGATAAAGTCACAGGGGAATGGCTGGGGTCTTGGAGCAGCTGTTTTGTGGAAGATGGTCCTTATTCTGTCAGGTATTACTGAACAGTTCTTCTAGAAATATACAATTACATGAATAAAATGTACAATTTTACTGCTGAAGCGTGGGGCTGGTATCTAGTGCCTGATCACAAAGAGTTAAGCAGTGTAAGTAATAGGGAGCTGGGCCCTGAGCCCATGAAAAGATCTGCATAGGTGAATCCTGACATGATGTGGGAGCCCTAACATCATAACAAGCCCCATGAATTTGAATGCAGGATTAGGAACTTCATTTTAAATTTGTTATAGTTTGTTAACCCTACTTTTGCAACCGTTGCAAGAAAAAAGATTGTCTTGAACAAATTTTCTGTAACATAATCTGGTTTAAGGAGCAACGACGTATAGAGCACAAGTTAATTCTCTACTTTTCATTGCGTTTAGCCAACTGTAGCCCTCAAGACCTCATCTCTTAAAAAGCGTATGTGTTTAAAAGTGCATGATTGTGTTAATAAGAGATGTCATATGGAGGTCATTATTCAAAAGAACATTTCTGTCTTTCATAGATTTACTGCCAATGACAAGTACTTGATTGTAGCTCAGCTGAATATCAACCGGTTATCCATCTTGGCAGCACCACCTGTTGGCTCTATTGGGAACTGTGTTGTAGTCAACACAATCCAGCTGGCGGATGAAACCAAACCACACCTTCTGGACGTAGACCTGAAGAGCGGAGCAATTTACGTGGCGGAGATTGGAGCCCAGCAAGTACAAAAATATGTACCCTTAAACTAATGGTTTTCCACAACCACCATGGCACAAGCTATGTGGCATATAAGACGTATGATCACATTTTCTCAAGTTTTCTGTAGCTTGTGTTTCCTTAAGACAGGCGCAGAACATTGTGTTCCCAGAACTGTAGGACTCACTGCCCTAGCCATTCTGCAGTCCTGGAGAAGTACTTGCTCTTGGGCTGTCACTCAATTTAGTGATGTTATGGTGGCTTTTCCTTTTGATGCTTAGATTTGGAAAATGACTTTGATAAGTATCTTAATTTTATCTTATAAAATTTTATAAATACAGCTGCTGTTCTTCAGTGTCTAGAGTTTCATCCTGAGACTCCTCTACCTGTCCTGCATGCATCGCAGAACTGGTCTGAGAAGTGGAGAGAAGTGGTCTACATAGTTGATTTCCTGGGAGCCAAACACCTCATTTTAATGTTTCTTCATGTTTTTTGGATCCTTTTGCTAACACTGTCCAACACTGAATGCAACATGGCGTTATGGCGTTGAATGAGATGCTGCTGGATATTGAAGTCAGTGTTGACACTGGCGTTTGCTTTGGGTGGATAATAGCATCAGCACTGAAATCAAAGTTTTTAGCCCCAGCTAAAGCAATCAAGTTTGTAATAGGTTTCAGTTAAATTTATATCATGCACTTCAAACAAAATTAAAAGTGTGTGCACAGCAGCCAAGTACTGATTCTTAACTAAATTAAATCAAATCAGGTCAGGAATTATATCGGCGTGAGTTTTCAGTTCCCCAGGATTTCATAATGGAACGTATTGAAGTTCGAGTCATTTAAGTTCCTCAGGATAAGCAAATCAGAATTTACTAGGAAACTCTTATTCAGCATTAGGGACCTGGAAACATAGAATGTTCTCCTAATCTTACTGACTTGAAGCTCAGTCAATTAACAGCAATGCACCTGTCACTTTGTTTAGGGGATTTTTAGCTACTTTATGTTTTATCCTTAGATTTCCCCTACCCCTTCAGTGACAACTCCATTCATGTTTTGCGTAAGTTTCTTCTTTTGAAGGAACTTATCCCGGTATACTTGCAGATGTCTCCACGTTCTGTTCTGAAAAGGTACTGTCCAACTCATTTTCAGATTTTGTGCATTTGCAGTGGTTTCTTCAAATACAATTCAGAACCCAAATTGCACAATTACCTTGCTTTCTTCAGCATGAATACTGGTTCAGAGGTCCCCTTCCATTCCCGGTCCACAGTGGTTCCAGTTTTTCATATGTTGCTAGAGGATTTTAAGTTTGTTCTTTCACAGCATAGCGGGAAATGGGCATAGAAAAGTGGGATGGAGAAAAGGGCGTGGCAGCATAGATAGAGACAAAAATGACTTATGGTGAGCAACTGAGTGCCTCTCTAAAGCTGTGGACCCATATTCCTTGTTCACCTACTCACAGTGAAAGCTTTGCAAAACATTTGGGAGGATTTTTGTGTTTCCACATACTTGCTCTACTGCAGGGACTATTTCAAATGCTAATTACAGGCTAAGAGAGGCATTTTTTCCCCACTTCCTTAGATAGGGATATGGGAATGGAATTATTCTGTTGGGAAATATCCATTTCAATGAATGTCATCAAAAGCGAATGCATCTTAATTTGGTGATTACAAATCTACGAATTTCTTGGTCAGTAGATGGGAAAGCTGACCAGGAAAGCAGATTCATATATGTTATGGAAAGTAACTCAGCCGTGGAGCTTGATATCCTGATTTCGGTGCTACTTCAGATTGATTCACTAGTTACAAATGCTTTGTTCTGGGCTATATCCACAATAACAAAAGCAGATCTGACCTGGCTGCCCTCATACCAATCTGAGAACCAGGGGTTCTGGATTATACACTAGCAAATACGATCCGTCATTCATGTGGTGCTGGATGGGAGCTTGTAAGCAATATTTATTAGCTGAAGAGGTAGCAGTACTTCCTCTAGACCTGGGTGGGTACGTCCAAATAGTTTTGCAATGCATTGTGTGGATTTCCTAACTAGGTCTCCACTAGCTCAGGGATCTCTGCTACGTGTGCTGTTTAGTTATTTCTTTCCTACATGAGGTGAATTTCTTTTTAAAAATATTACCATACTATCATTAACTATACTTGAGCATATCTTGGTGGCATAAGGGATCCAGACACATCCACCCTTCCTCGACACCTCCCCTCCTTATTTATTTGCTCTTTGTCACATCCATTTAAAACAAGGCTAGTAGCCCTCTGGGAACATGCTTCTCTGTCCAGTAAAGGAGTAGCGTACTTTTGGAGGTTGACAGGTAACTTATTTATACAAGTCTGCTACATGGATCTGTGCTCAACTCTCTTTTTTACATTTGCAGCCCCTAGATATGGGGACTATTCATCTGATTGCCTGCCTTCACTGAAATAGGCTGTGGTGCCAAAATATCTGTATCTATATTACATCTAAGCATTGAGTATCTGTGATAAGAGAGAATGTTCATTAGTGACTAGTATGAGATGACTGGGCTCCTTTCAACCTCTGTGTATATGACCACACTGAGGAAAATGATTAATGTGTGCATTAACTTGCTAATTTTGTGAGGGTTTTCTTATGTATCATCTTGAAACTGATATCTGGAAAATTACGTTGTAGGATAATTTGGTAAAATAAATTTAGTATTTCCCAATGTGAAAGCTTTGGGCTCTTTATTTCTGTTCTAATGTCAAAACATTTCATTGCAATGGATTACTTTTCTAAATATGGGATCCCCAGCACTTGAATGCTGGTATCAGAAATGATTAAATACTTTACTAAAATGGAATCTAAAATTCTATGTTATCTTTATACATTACTATTTCTGTGGCTCATCTGTTTCACATCATTCCAATTTATGTGTTGAAAAATGCACATAAGTCTCTCTCCCAGATGTTTTCCTCTGAGTAATTACTAAAATAGGATGATGACTTACATAAGTGCCTGGTATAAAAACTATTTAAATGGTATACTCTTTTTGCGCTAATAAGGAAATTAAAAGCAAACCAAGAAAAAAACTTCTTAATATAGAATCAGAACTTATATCCAGAAGAGCAATTTATTTAGTTTTAAGAAGAACAAGAAGAGACTTGTTTATGGGGTAGAAATATTTGCACAAGAAGAACGTGTTCACTGAACAGTGTTCGCTAAACAAAGAAGAAAACATAAAACAATGTAATTGCTAGAATCCAACAAATTTTAATGTAGTTATGAGGTGACAGTTTTTGAGTGTGAGAAATTATCGTTGAAATATCCAAGTAAAGGAAACAAGAATATTCCAGGTTATAGTGTCTCCAAGTTTGCAGATTTTTTTTTTTTAATTGATCCCAGTCTTTGAATAAGTACCTCCCTTGTGAATTAGATGAACATTCCCCAGAAGGTCAGACCAGATCAGATCCTAAGATGTATTAATACAGTTCATCTTGATTTTTCCTCAGTGATGGTAACCAGCTATTTTTTGAGTAAGTATTGTGTTGTCATGGTCGGCAATTGATTAACTATATCTGGTCAAAATAAAGGAAGCCTGGATGAGTTTTGTGCCAGGAAAGATCAATTTACTGAGGCTGAACTATCTCAGTAAAATCTAGAGGGGAAGGTATATACAGATATTTATGTGTCTGCTCATTACTGGGAGTAAAGGCCTTGCCTTAAAGGGATTTTGCACCCTTTTGATGCATAAAGGAGTTAGTTATCTTAGATGATACTTACTTTCTTAACAATTTGTACCCTGAGAAGCCATCACAAGTGATCTGTCTGTAAGAGATCAATGAGCAAGTGGTTGCAGTCACTGAAGTTGCTTACCTAAAACATAAGAGGGCACCAAACCCTTACTGATGTCTGACATATTCAGTATATTTATATACTGGTAAATGTAAACAGCTGATAATTTCTAACATTTGGACTAAGTCAACAATAATAATGAATTGCTCCAGACTTCCTTTCTCTTTTCGAAACTGACCGCTTTAAACATAAGCAGATAGTGGTATTAGAGTCACTTTGGCATCTTATCACCCGATTTATGTCCATCTCTTATTTATTTCCATTACTTTGCCTAGTTGAAAAAAATCAGTAATTCAGTGTCCAGAGACTACTGGGTATGTGAAATGATTCTTCTCTTCCTTTTTCCATTGATTTCAATGGAATTGCCCCTGATATGTTGCTTTGGAAACATAATAATTTATAACAGTATAACTGTAGCAACATAATTATACCGAAAGAGTAATGCCAGTATATTTCCCTAGAGAGATGACCCTGAGTGAGATTAGAGCTAAGCTTACTAGGTCTGATTCACCAGTTTCCTTGTAGCTCTCCTTTCTCAGCCTTTGTGTAAACTTTGTTATGATGTTTTATTATTTTTATTATTTTATTCTACATTTGGGAGGTTTGCATCTGCAAAAATTGTATTTGCCAGCAGTTAGCGCCAAGAAATTTGAACGCAGACATATTACACGAGGTAAATATTTCAAAATATTTGAGACTATCTGCGTTCATAAAGCATCTCTTAATGTGATGTTGCTCACATGAAACTGAATGGAGCATATTAATCTGTTCGTGGAAGATGTTTTGCTCCTGCATTAGAGGCAAAGTAACACTGGTATAAATGAGACATGAATAGATCTACTTAATCATAAGATCATGTGTTTCGAGGCTGAAAAAACCAAATATGTTTGTGTAACTGGATTTGCAAAACAGAGGTGAAAGAACCTTGCCCAGTTACCTCAGGAATGAACCCACTAATTTTATCTGAGCAACGGTGTGATCTTTTGCAAACACATTAAGACTTGGCTTAAGAATTCTAACTCTTGACTATCTAACATCTCTATATTTCAGTTTTTTCAAATGGTCAATAAACCTTATCATTAAAAAGAGAGGGCATTATTTAAGTCTGAATTTATTTGGTCTTCAACCTTACGAAGATGTTAAGTTTTCTTCTTTCAGCTAGCTTGGATATCTGATATGGGAATTTTTTTTCTTATCCCCCATGGAGTCATTTACAGATGATGACTGAGTCACCTCTTGCTCTGCTCCTTGTGTAAACTGTCTAGATCCAAAAACCTGCTTTGCAGTGGAAAACTAGTAAGGCTTTAGTTTCGAAATGTGTTCATAGTTTAGTTTCGAAATGTGTTCATAGTTGTTTTTATTAAAAACAGATCCAAAAAAATACTCATTGCGTGATAGGAAGTGTGGATATCAGAACTGTCAGCACGAAGCCTATCTTAGTGCTGTGTGCTGTACAGGGGTAATACTACCCCCCTATAATTTGATATGCCTTGAATGTGTTGCTAGCTCTCAGCACAGTACTGTCTCTGACAGTTGTCAAAATATCTTCTGTGACTAGGTGGTCAAGGTGTAAAGGAACTCTGAAGGAAGAGTAGACCGTAAGAGCTGTAACGTGAAGTTTTCATCTGTGCTCACTGGTGAAGAACTCAGCAAAATTTTCGTGTTGTAACGCTTCTTGACAGGATCTTTATCAGAGGATCTGGCTGAAATTGAAGTGCCAGCAGAAGTCTTATTTAAAAAACTGATAAAGTGCTAGCAGGTGTTTATTTCATTAGCATTTTCAGAAGATTTATGAAAAACTAACTTTTGCTTGGTATCAGAGGAAAGAAAAATGGCAAATATGGTTTAAAGAAGTAAAAAAAGAAAAACCGGTATGTAGGGATTCTGGAGAGGACCGAAGGAATTGACAGCTGTACTTTCCCAGTTGACATAAACTGTAGTGAAAGAATATA